CCCCTCGAGGCTGTGGCGTAGCTACCGTAAAGCTAGAGTAAGCAAGGCATAGGGGCCCAAGGCAAATAGGTGCCCTTTTTCGAAAGTTTGAGGGGGGGGGGGTGCAAATCGAAAGTTTGTCCCCGGTCGCCGGGAAGGGTCGCTACGCCTCTGAGGGGCCCACTAACACTTTTTGCATAGGGGCCCAAAAATCCTAGCTACGCCACTCACTCGAGGTCCACGTTTGTTCTGAAATTGTTCTTCCCGTATTTGATTCTTGAAAATGTTTGTTCACACAGCATGTTGTTCGAAAATTTGAAAGTTACTTTGATGCAAAAGTTTTAATGTTAGGAAATCTTCCTTGTGCAAAAACGTATGAAAACCCATCCGCCCTTCTTTTAGCTTGTCTCTAAGGAGGTCATTTTCTTGCAATTCAATGACCTCCAGCTGCAGTTCATCTTTGCAACTGGCCACATTTGCTTCCAATGGGCTTTGAAACGATCTCACTTCTTCTGCATATGAATCCAAGTCGGAAAACCGCTACTGAAACTTCAGCTGGAGGTCTTTAATGATCTCGTATCTAAATGACGTGGGGAACTCAGTGGTTGCTTCAGCCCTAAAGACGTTGCACTGCTGAAAGTGTGTCAAGCTGTTAGCCTGTACATGTTCCAAAAACATGACAAGTTTGTATCTAAAAGCCTTTAGGTGGGTGTATAGATCAGAAACTAGATTTCACTCTCTTGCCGTTTTAGGTTCCGAAAAATTAAATGACTAGTTATGTCTGCAGCAGAGGCAAATTTCTATACCCACTCTTCATCAGACAATAATGGATGTGACTTGCCTTTACAATCAGGAAGACACCTATTTATTTTCTTAGATACTCTGCTTAGAATTTTCTCTCTAAATTGGCAATCTTACTGATGTGAAATATGGTAAATCTTGCGATTTTGTTTTTGTCTCTGAACTATCTATGGTCAGATATCCCCTTTGGTAACAGTGTCATACATTATATGTAGAAGGCGAGCTCTCGTGTTATGTTCAGGTCTTCATCCACACCTCTATGAAAACAAATAGCTGAGAGGTGGAACAGCTGTCCAGCGACTCATCCATTGCAATTGAAAAATGGCGAAATTTGCTTGAATTTTTCGCTATTTGTGTCACAATGTTTTCAACAATGTCTGCAACACGGCGAGTAATTGTATTTGCCCACAAAGTTACATTTTCAAATAGTTTTGAATTTTCTGTGCAAAGCTCCTCAGCCACCTCCAACAAAAAAATGTTTCAGTGGACAAAAAGATCGTTGCGGGCCGGATAAAATGAACTCGCGGGCCGCATTCGGCCCGCGGGCCGTAGTTTGGAGACCCCTGCATTAAGTAGAAAGCGAAAGCTGATAATCAAATTTTGAGATCGAATTAGCATGATAATAAAACAAGGAGTGGCAGAAATTTGATGGAGTCACAAAGGCTTAAGAGAGTAAAAGAAAAAAATAAACAAATGGCCGCAAGAATAGTGAGTAGAAGTTTGTGGAACTTACCTGCCCGATTATTGACTTTCTCAAGAGTGAAGGGCTTCGATCAGAGGCGTAGCAAGGGGGTTGTACATATGTCCCCGGGCGCCGACCCTAGGGGGCGCCAAAATAGGTGGAAAAAAATATTAAAAGCTCATTCTAGCTGCAGATTTGCATTATAATTAATAAAAAAAATATTTGGTTTGTCCCCCGGGGGGGGGGCAAGTTGAAAGTTTGTCCCAGGGCACCTGGAAGGGTCGCCACGCCCCTGACTCTGATCATTCTTATTACAAAACAGACAAGGCATACAGTTACTCTTTGAAACAACACACTATGAATTTGGACCGTTGTGCATATATTAAACGTAGAGACAGGTTTTACATTAAACCTGGAGACAGATTATACCAAAATCCATATTACAGTATTCTCTTGAAATATTATCTGAAGAAAAAAACAAAAACAATTCACTTAATAGTTCAAGTTTGATATTTTCATCCAGTCATATATCGCATTTAATTGTTTAAGATTGGCAGCTTAAAATGTACTTCATGCTCAAATGTACAGATCAAAAAACGTATTTATTAGGATTATACGGATTGGTTTAGTTACATACATGTAAAAGCTTATGGTTTCTGATTGCTTATCTGCACCACATGCTGGTGATTTTAAATAATCGATAGTTAAAGTGGTTAGGACATAACATACCTGCAACTCAATACTCACAGTTTAAAGCATGAGATGTTCTTTGTACGTGAACATTTAAATAAGTATGTGTTTAAATTTTGGAATAAAGGCGACATATGTTCTATCCCAAATGTGCAAATTTTATTAAAAATTATTTACAACGCTAACGACTTTTTTATTGTTACAACAGTTATGATTGTTAGAACTGTCACAACAGTTACAGTAGTTATAACAGTTACAATATATACACTAAATACTACATAACGTATACAACAGTTACAAAAATACAACATATACAACATATACAACAAATACAAAAGTTACAACAGATACAAAAATTAGATACGACATAACTTATACAATAGTTACAACCAGTGGCTTAGCAAGGATTGTCTCATTTTGGGGGGGGGGGGGGGGGGTTTAAAGTTTAACTTCAGTAACCCAATTACTGCCTTTCCCGTTTTAGGTGGTGAGGTGGGGATGGGGGAGAATAACCAACTCAGAGTGAACATAGCGTCAGTTTTTAGATTACTGTTCTAAACATACATATAAAATTATACATCTATTCAGAAATAAATTTAAATAAGTAACAGTGGTATTATAACAGTAATAATTTTTACCCCCCCCCCCTCCCGCCTACGCCATTGGTTACAACAAGTACAGCAGTTACAATATATACAACAGATACAATAGATAAAAAATATACATAAAACATATACAACAGCTACAGTAGTTATAACAGTTACAACATATACAAGAGATACGATATAACGTAAGCAACAGTTAGAACATATACAACAATTGCAACTAATAAAAAATATACAACATATACAACAATAAGGTACAACAGATAGAACATATAGATTGAACTGTTACAACAGAGACAACAGATACAACAATTATTTACGATATAACGTATACAGCAGATTCACTAAATACAACAGTTACAACAGATTCAATAGATTCAACAGTTACAAAAGTTACAACAGATACAACAGTTACAACTGTCAGAATGGATACAACAGATACAACAGTTACAACAGATTCAACAGATATAACTGATACAACGGTTACAACATACTACATACAACAGTTATAACAGTTACAACAGTTACAACAGATACAACAGATACAACATACAACAGATACATTAGATACAACATATACACCATATACAACATATACAACAAATACAACATATACAACATATAAACATATACAACATATACAACATATACAACATATACAACATGTTCAACATATACAACATATACAACATATACAACATATACAACATATACAACATATACAACATATACAACATATACAACATATACAACATATACAACATATACAACATATACAACATATACAACATATACAACATATACAACATATACAACATATACAACATATACAACATATACAACATATACAACATACACAACATACACAACATACACAACATATACAACATACCCAACATACACAACATACACAACATATACAACATATACAACATATACAACATATACAACATATACAACATATACAACATATGCAACATATGCAACATATGCAACATATGCAACATATGCAACATATGCAACATATGCAACATATGTAACATATGCAACATATGCAACATATACAACATATACAACATATACAACATATACAACATATACAACATATACAACATATACAACATATACAACATATACAACATATACAACATATACAACATATACAACATATACAACATATACAACATATACAACATATACAACATATACAACATATACAACATATACAACATATACAACATATACAACATATACAACATATACAACATATACAACATATACAACATATACAACATATACAACATATACAACATATACAACATATACAACATATACAACATATACAACATATGCAACATATGCAACATATGCAACATATGCAACATATGCAACATATGCAACATATGTAACATATGCAACATATGCAACATATACAACATATGCAACATATACAACATATACAACATATACAACATATACAACATATACAACATATACAACATATACAACATATACAACATATACAACATATACAACATATACAACATATACAACATATACAACATATACAACATATACAACATATACAACATATACAACATATACAACATATACAACATATACAACATATACAACATATACAACATATACAACATATACAACATATACAACATATACAACATATACAACATATACAACATATACAACATATACAACATATACAACATATACAACATATACATCATATACAACATATACAACATACACAACATATACAACATTTACAATATATTCAACAAAAATAAGATGTACAACAGATGGTGATAGTAGTCAAAAACGAAAACCCCTATCCTTATGGGTCCAATCATAATGTCGAAAATGATTTTTTCTTATATTACAAATATAAAATCTACTAGCTTACTGGATATAAACGAATACAAATATGATAATGTACCAATTTTTTATGTTGTATATTCCCATGAACTGATTTAAACTAATATGTTATGTTAATGTATCAGCTTTTTATGTTGTATGTTCTTTTGAGCCTCAAGTAAAGCGATATAATGATACTTTTGTTTTTAAATCTCTCCCGTTACAGCGTTTTGATCTGATGTAAATGCATTAAGCTGTTTTATCTATGTCGGCGTCAGGTCTCGTTAAAGTCCTATTAGAATGGGGCCTATCGAATTACAACCATGCAATCTATATAAACCATTCACTTATCAAACAAACGCCAACACATTCTTCAACGTGAACAGGTGTGCCTGTGTATATTTTGTGTTGTATGTATACTTCTCGGAAATATATAGATAGTTAGATTATAACTGCAACACGATTACTACAATGCTTTCTGCTTAATGTGATTGTATTTAAAAAAAAATGTTTTCATTCGTAGATTACTTTAATTTAAAAAAAAATGTGAGCCTCATCTAAATGGTTGTTGATGTTTATACTTACTTAGCAATTCCAGTGTATGCTTTTTTATATGTTATGAAGTATTGACTTGTTCCTTTGTTAACCCTGAGGTACAAAGGGCTGCAACCACACCTCTCCATCGGACCCAGTATTGAGCGTCTCTCTTTATTTACACCCACGTAAGCCTGGCAGCCATTGCCCCATTTTCTAATGTTATGGTGTGTTTATGCTTAATAGGGCTGGTAAGTTGGTCACCAACCAGTGCTATGGCTCATGCAGGTTTTATTGAGCCGTAGAACTGGTTGGTGACCTACTTACCAGCCCTATTGTCTCTCTCTCTCTCTCTCTCTCTCTCTCTCTCTCTCTCTCTCTCTCAATGGGGCTGCGTGGCCTAGCGATTCCATTGACTGCTAACCCGAAAGCTTTAGGTTTAAGTCAGTAGACCGTCCCTGATTCCACCCAGCTCGGATGGGTATCCCTGTCGTAAAAAATAATTAAAGTTCACCTTTCAAACCTGAAGGTCTATGGGGCAAGTGAAGTAGAGTTCACTTGTTTCTGTGACCTCGGCAAATGAAGAGATAGTGTGGTCAGCACTATGCCCAGCCGCCTTTACTCTCCCTAACATGAGTTAGGTACCCATCAGAGTTGGGTGGACTCAGGAACGGTCTACTGACTTGAACCCGGATTCGAATGGGAAAGTAAAGTCGGCTGGGCATAGTGATCATCACGCCGACCCTTCATATGTTCATATGCATAGTGATGACCACACCGACCTTTCATATGTTTATATGCCGAGGCTGCAGAAACAAGTTAATTTTACTTCACTTGCCCCATGGACCGTCTTAAAAGGAATGTTACGTATTGGATAACGTAAAGCGTGTTACTTTAAATTTGAAACTGAATATAAGAGTAACGCTATAATTATACCTAAGACAATTTATTAGTATTAGGGTTTTATTATATTGGGTTTAGGGGGGGGGGGGGGTAGTGCAGAATTGGGTTTTGCCACAGCCATTCAATTATACTTGTAAGTGTGGGTTAGCCCAAGCTACTTCGTGTTTCGTATACTAGTAGAATTCTACAATTTAGCAAATTAAGAAACTGAAGATGACGGATGACGGCAAGAGATAATAAGTTATTAAAAAAAAAAGACAAATTTCTAATGTTCTACCGAAAGGCTTGTTAAAAAAAAGACGAATAGATGAGTTCAATTTCGTCGATTAGTTGTCAACACAACGCTATCTTTAAACAGCTTTCTTAAAATTACAAATTTGATTTGTTTCAGCCTCATTCCAACAAGAAATGAAGCTTTGGTTTTTCCTTATTCTCCTTATGGTTGCCTATGCCAATGCGTAAGTGTGTATACACCAGAAATTAAAAGTGTTGCATTGAAAGCAGGTTCCAAAAGGTTGTTGCCATAAAACATGTTTTTCAACCGACATTGAATATTTTTACCCTCAGCTTTTCGATTATTTCTGGTGGGGCCAGGTGTAACATAAATAAAAACAGAATCCACGGAGTGAAATTGCAACAGTCATTTGTAATTTCCAACAATTACAAGAGAAACGGTGAACATTGACACAGAGAGAATGTGACAACATGCTACGCTAAGTTGACGCTACACAACACACCGCTTACACACACCGTTCACACACTTCTTTTTCACGCTCGCACACTATTTTCAAGGCGAGGCCACTCTCACATCCACTTTATATAAACATCTACATCACAATATTTTATAACATTTGCGAATTACGTACAAAAAAACTTTAAGTTTTATTAAGGCTAGAAATATTCAAACAAATAATTACTATATGCTAATTGTATAACAATTCCATTGATCAATGTGTGCAAATATTACATATATTAATCCACCTTGAAAAATTATTTAGATTCCTTACTCTAACAGTTATTAAATCAAGTTGTAGTAAATTATTAAATTTGGTGTCATCCCCCCCCCCCCCCCAGACATGAAAACATTTTTCCTCAGGCAACGTTTAGTTGGTGCCAACCCCCCCCCCCCCTCCATTAGGCGATAGCTTTAAACTTTGCATAGATAATACTAACGGTGTTGATCAATAGTTGGTTATAAATACAGCTGAATGTAGTATAGTTTTCTATATAGTTAGCAGTATTACGTCATGATGTCACCCCCCCCACCCCCCTCCACACACACCTCTTTCTGGATTTGTCACTTTTGCTCTTAATTAAATTACTTTTTAACTCTAATTATTCATTTATTTAACTGAATGATCTTTTATATATACGTATATATATATATATATATAAATATATATATATATATATATATATATATATATATATATATATATATATATATATATATATATATATGTGTGTGTTGCTCTTTTTTGCCTTGGTGTTACCCCCTAAATGGTGTCACCGGTGCGGTCCGCCCCCCTCCCCTTCTCGCGACGCCTCTGAATAGTACTACAATAGTAATTTAGCGAACACTTATATTTTTAATTTGGATCAGTAGAGTGAGGGTGTTATGGTGACAGTCGATGTTATGTTATTTAATATAAATTTAATAGGCTATACCCCATCGACTACTATTGTGTATTTTATCAAAGAAAACAATTGTGGCGACTCTCTTTGTTTTAGTCTTTCTGGCAATTTGCTTGTCATCATCTGCTTATATTCAACACAAAAGTATGAAAACGAGTGTAATTGATGTTCTTAAAGATCTTTAATTTTTACACACTGTCATGTAACGATAATTTTATTGCTTGCAATATTTTTTAAAATTTCAAAAAATTGAATTATTACATAGAATTTTCAAGCTTTTTGTTGAACAATATAATATTATATCGACAATCAAAATTTCATCCAAATATTTTTGTATCAATTTCGTTTTCGCTTCATTTTACTATTCATTGTTAAATTAATTATATTAGAACACAATATATTAAATAATAGCACCAATATTAATAACACATGAGCTTATTCATTAGTATTGTAATTCTATATTTCTATATTTAGATGTAATAGAAGCGAAAGAATCTTATGTTATAATAATCCAAATGCTTGCCCCAGTGGGATGAAATGCCAGTAAGTTGTGATTTTTGTATTTTAATATAGAGTAATTTTCTTTTTCTACAATTATACAACTGAATTGCAAATTTCTATGAATACATTTGATTTTTTTTCTCAAAACGTTCACAATGAATAATATAATAATATGTTTAAAATCATGTTTTAATTTTTTTTTAAATACTCAGTTCACCGACTTAAATTCTATGTGCAGTCAATATTAAACGCAAATAAATACATGCATACATTATGTTTAGTATATTAATTGATACGACATCTACATCTACATCTACATCTACATCTACATCTACATCTACATCTACATCTACATCTACATCTACATCTACATCTACATCTACATCTACATCTACATCTACATCTACATCTACATCTACATCTACATCTACATCTACATCTACATCTACATCTACATCTACATCTACATCTACATCTACATCTACATCTACATCTACATCTACATCTACATCTACATCTACATCTACATCTACATCTACATCTACATCTACATCTACATCTACATCTACATCTACATCTACATCTACATCTACATCTACATCTACATCTACATCTACATCTACATCTACATCTACATCTACATCTACATCTACATCTACATCTACATCTACATCTACATCTACATCTACATCTACAGTATATATAAATATATATATATATATATATATATATATATATATATATATATATATATATATATATATATATATATATATATATATATATATATATATATATATATATATATATATATATATATATAAAACACATAAAGAAACATTTACGAAAATTTATCTTAAAAGTGTTTATAAACTTTTAATTTTGATCATGTTTTTCAGACGGACTCGTTTTGCCGGTTCTGATTATTGCATATCCGCAAATTAGCCTTTGACACATCCCAAATTTTAATTCTTATCATAAAAAAAAATATCCTCAATCTACTGATTAACTAAAATACGACCCTCTCACTATTATTTTAACATTCTGTTTTGCCAATCCCGATAAATGTTTTTTTCTGTTTGAAAATGTAATAAAAAAATGAAACATCAATTGTTTAATGTGTTGGTATATGTTTTCATAAAAATTTACCATCAAACTTCTTCAACACATTAACACACGCTGTTTACAAATTTCCCTAATGGATAAATGGACGGTGAAGTCGTTTCATTAGAAGATCGTTAACTAGCGATAGATCGTGGGCGACAAAGTGGAAACTATATTCTAATTATTTTTACAAGCTTTTATTTAACTCACTTCCTCTGTCTGTCTGTCTGTCTAGGTCGAAGTGCCCTGCGAAATTGCAGGCACTTCTAACTGACAGATATAGTTCGTAATTGGTACGTGGGTCAAGACATGAAGACAATGCATCGTGACATTAAATGCGTCTTAATTTTTTATGAATTAATTCTAATTTCAACCAAATTAGTAGGCAGTTCTATACACACGCATCATCACGTTCAATATGCGCGCAATGGATTATAGTCATGTAACTCTATTGTAAATAAAAACATGTAAAGTACTAAAAAAAATTCATAAAAACCGTTTTAATAACTAGCTTTTATGTAATAATGCACTAAAAAATAGAAAATAAATTATACACTACTATTTAAATTACTATAAAGAAAAGGTCTGTTCCTAAATATTAGTAAAGGTATCCAATAGATACTAAAATGGCCCATGCTTTTCTTTATAGTTATTTAAATAGTAAAATTTATTTTCTACTTTTTGGTGCATTATTACATAAAAGATTGTTATTAAAACGCTTTTTATGAAAACATTTTGGCTGTGCACACACCTCAGGTTACCCCGCTTGTAGTGCCACAAGGCGGTGGTGACAGAATCATTTGTGGGGGTGACACCAAATCCCATGTAGTTATAGGGAGTTATAGGCGAGTCATCTAGATGGAGGCATCCGGCTGTGGTTAGGCATGGAGAGGGTTGGGCACCGCGACACTTAACCATAGACATAAGGGTTACGGGATAATTTAGATCTAGAGAGCACTTATATGCCAAATGCAGCAACGGTCCTGGCAGCCCACTGGGAATAGGGCTTGTAAGTGTACGGTCTCGGAATCTACTAGCTGCATAGTGCGGGAACGAGAAGTTGTGACCTACTTACAAGCCCTATTTTTTCTCGGCATCCAACAGGGATTTTTGTCCGATGTCCGACGACCCAGTCTAGCCATGATGCTCGACCATCTTGAAATTTTCATGACTGTTTAATAGCCTTTTAAATATCTTTGAAAACATACATAAGTATAAAAAAATGTAACACTCCTTCACCGCAAGGATTATATGTATGTGTGGCTGCTCAATGGAACGTAGATCTCACAATGTCAATCTCTCAATGCTGTAGAGCTCACTGAGCTCACCCAGCTGTAATGGGTACCTGTCTCGAGTCGAGAAAAGTGAGATCGATGATACATATAGCTCAGCAAATTATCTATTCATTTACACAGACGAACTCTACTTCATCTGCGGTTATGTTACTGATCTATATCTCTTTATTATATGTAAAACATAATACATGTAAAATCATTTATTTATTACTACGTGTAGAAGAATGCAACATAACATATATAACACAACGAACATAAATAAATACAGGATTGAATAATTTTGACCTGTTTTATTTAGTAACAAAAAAAAAAGCATACTTAAATTGCAATAGTAATAGAAAAGCTATGATGAACGATACATTATCAGTTTAATTAACATCTGAAGCATAAGCGTGTGATTCTGTGATTCCCAGAAATAAATGCGCAACGGAAAAATGCGCAACTGAAAACTATGCAAACACAATCGAATGCGCAGATACAAACTTACAACACTAATACACTTCCGTTTGGTAATAGTTTGTGGAAAAATGGTTTTTGTCCCTATGTACAATTGGACATATTTAGCAAACGTCTATAAATGATCGATTTTTTAAGGAAAATTTCCGCCTGCGCACTGTTTTGTGCTTCATTTCCCATTGCGCATTTTTTTCCTTACTGTATCCCATCATATAGTTATCAGTAAAACAAAAACCTGAGTGTAACAATGGCGGAACAATTATTCTAATTGCTGATAAACGTAACGATAATTATCTTAATTCTCTTGGTATAGTTCCAGCTTTAAAGAGTAACCAAATAGAGGGTTCTTAAATATTAAATACACACGCAGTTATGTCATCTTATTTAGTCTTTTTTTAAAAAAAAACTATATCTCAGAGAATAACGAAACATTGTTTCTAAAATATCAAATGACTCTCATTTATAATTTTCGTCAATTATTTTATTTTCTATTTTTTTTAATGACCTGAAGTGACTAATTGTTACTTTTTAATTTTAGTTGTTAGATGTAATTACTAGAATAGTTATAAACTATTATTCTTATCTTTGCTTCGGATAACTCTATTATTTTTCTAGTAAAATTACGCCTTACTACAACTTTAAGAGAATTAAAATATACATTTAATAAAGCCGTTCTTGAAGATAATTATTCAAACACGATGACAGAAATTATATTAACTACGTATTATATTTGCCAATAATTATATAACGCGACAGTAAACGCACTTGAAATGGGTAATTAAAAAATAATTGTATGTAAGTTAATTCACGCTTGCACATTACTTCTGGTAATTACTACCCGTTGGGTTTTGATCTGTATCTATCAAGAGTACGTCTTTCTCGGCGGATCGTGTAGTTTAATGTGAGTAATCCTAAACAAGTAACTCTAATAGACTGATATTTCTACATAGTCTACTTACATACTTTGATAATAAAACTAACTGAATAATTTCCTAGATTCGCTTTGTTACCGACAGATCGGTGTATATTCATATTCGCTTGTTTCGCTGTCCTAAAGATTTTTTTCTGCTGCAATTTGTTAAATTAATTTTCGTTAAAAGAAAAAAGATAATATTTTCAAATGAATATGGCGGTTTCTGAAGAAATAATATCAACCGCGAATATGACGGAAATCGTTGGAGGTGGTGTCGTAAATGTGGAAGTACTCGACGGCGGAAAAGAGGAAATAGTTTCCGATGAGGTGATGGAGTACCTGTTCATTTCGCTAACCATCAGCGTCCACGGCGTCATTGCGATAACCGGCGTCTTGACCAACAGCGTCAACGTCTTCGTGTTCTTCAAACTGGGTCTCAAGGACAGCATGAGCGTTGGACTTTGGACCCTGTCCTTCACCGATCTCACGGTGTCCGCCCTACAGCTGTCCAGCTGTTTCTGCTACTTGGTCAACATCGTCTACCCCAACAGCCCTGTCGACCCGTACACCATCGGCGCTTTCTATTTCAGCTGGATGAGGTATATCGCGTATTTAATCTCATGCTGGATAACCGCGGTTATATCAGCCGAGCGATGTTTTTGCGTTATCTCCCCTTTTAGAGTTAAACAAGTATTCACAACAACACGATGCGTTTTCATGATTTTGATAATTTATTTCTTGCATATAGGTATCCATCTACCTGTCTTCATGTTTACACCATTACAACTCGTTATGTTCCCTATTATAGGAACGGGAATTAATGCAACCGTAGTGTACGCAACACAATTAAAAATTGTGTACCAACAAGAATGTGTCCTTTGTGTATTCATCGCAGACCTGATCGCTGGGGTGTGTCTGTCTGCAACATCACAAGCCATCATCATCGTCTGTACGTTTTGGATGATCTACGCACTCAAATCTTCTTCTAAAATTCGCACCGCGGTGCGCATCGATCGGGTTAATATTTCTACGCAAAGTAAAACAAAACCACCCCGCAGTTTTGAGGATAATCTCTCAACACGGGAAAGAAAGCTGGCCAAAGTAGTGGTGCTTTTGGCCATTATTTTAACCGTGTGCAACATCCCAAAATTTATGGTGACGGCTGCGCATAACCTTCTGCCAAGTCTGGGGGTCGGGGGTTATGAGAATTTGGAGGTGTTGATGTGGGAGGTGTCGTATGTGTGTACCACACTCTGCTGTTGTAGTAATTTCTTGGTGTATCTAGTGTTAAATGCCAGCTACAGAAAAACTTTAATTCAGATTTTTCATGTGTGACAAATAAATTTGTCTTGTTGGCAATGAAATGGTTTCTTCAGAAGTTTTATTATCTAACTTATAAATGTGACTTACTTTTTTTTTAATTTTTTTTTACCATAACTAAAAATATTTATTCTCAAAACATTTTATATCCAACAGGTTTTCATGATAAGTGAAAAAAATGTCATGAAGTACGATATGAAATGTGTTATGTACAGGAACAGCAATGGTGAATGAATGAGTGATAACGGTGGTTTAAAAATATGGAATTGTCTAGACAGGGGATCCTTCTTGCTTGTCTCTGACAGCATCCTTGAATCTTTCTTTCAAGAGGGAAATTTCAGAGATCAGATCAGTGATGGCGTTTGTGGTGTCAGAGATCAGATCAGTGATGGCGTTTGTGGTGTCAGAGATCAGTGATGGCGTTTGTGGTGTCAGAGATCAGATCAGTGATGGCATTTGTGGTGTCAGAGATCAGATCAGTGATGGCGTTTGTGGTGTCAGAGATCAGATCAGTGATGGCATTTGTGGTGTCAGAGATCAGATCAGTGATGGCATTTGTGGTGTCAGAGATCAGTGATGGCGTTTGTGATGTCAGCGATCAGATCAGTGATGGCGTTTGTGGTGTCAGAGATCAGATCAGTGATGGCATTTGTGGTGTCAGAGATCAGATCAGTGATGGCATTTGTGGTGTCAGAGATCAGATCAGTGATGGCGTTTGTGGTATCAGAGATCAGATCAGTGATGGCGTTTGTGGTGTCAGAGATCAGATCAGTGATGGCGTTTGTGGTGTCAGAGATCAGTGATGGCGTTTGTGGTGTCAGAGATCAGATCAGTGATGGCGTTTGTGGTGTCAGAGATCAGTGATGGCATTTGTGGTGTCAGAGATCAGTGATGGCGTTTGTGGTGTCAGAGATCAGTGATGGCGTTTGTGGTGTCAGAGATCAGATCAGTGATGGCATTTGTGGTGTCAGAGATCAGTGATGGCATTTGTGGTGTCAGAGATCAGATCAGTGATGGCATTTGTGGTGTCAGAGATCAGTGATGGCATTTGTGGTGTCAGAGATCAGATCAGTGATGGCATTTGTGGTGTCAGAGATCAGTGATGGCATTTGTGGTGTCAGAGATCAGTGATGGCATTTGTGGTGTCAGAGATCAGTGATGGCATTTGTGGTGTCAGAGATCAGATCAGTGATGGCGTTTGTGGTGTCAGAGATCAGTGATGGCATTTGTGGTGTCAGAGATCAGATCAGTGATGGCATTTGTGGTGTCAGATATGAGATCAGTGATGGCGTTTGTGATAGCTTCCTGTGAGGTGTAGTCAGGTGTGGTCTGGATCCTCAGGACAAACTTGTGCTCCAAGGGGTGAGGGATCTTGTAGCCAGCAAACAAAACTTGGGGGTCTTTTAACAGCTGAGTGGTGATTACATTTCCAAGAGTGTCGTCTTCTTTGTTGACAGTGAAGATGGCTGCATTGGGGACTTTAGTGTCTTTCTCTATGTAGATTTTTTTTCTCCTTCAAACAGAAGAAATGACTCAAAAGTCGATGGAGCATTCATAATGAGTTTCAAAACTGCTATTCCAATACGACTGTCATGTTTATCGTTTTCATAAATGTGACATACACGAGATGTTGTTGGTAAATGGATTACTGATAAATAAATAACAATATTATAGTAATGCATATATAATATAAAAATATTTTAAAATGCTGTTTCGTTTCTTTTTTTAAATATGAGAGTGCATAAATAGGTAGCTTTTTCAAAAATCTAAGGTTTAAACAAGTTTATTAGAAAAATAAAATTATACATTAGGATTGCATGATCAAATATTCTCATCTATTTTAAAAGGTGGATTATATGATACATTGTGCAGCTTGTCTCTTTTTCTAGGTTATTGCCCTTGTAGGGTACGAGATGATCTTACTTAAACTAATACATGTACATGTATGTATGTTATATATATAGAAATTAATTAATTTAAAAAAAAAAAAAAAATATATATATATATATATATATATATATATATATATATATATATATATATATATATATATATATATATATATATATACGTATATGTTGAAATGTATATTCGTGTACATATGCGAATAAAGTTAAAACTATATCAATACTATCATTGCCGTCACGTATTTTGCGTAGTCTACTTGGAGTCAGCTTCCTTAGAGGCAAAATATAAAACTGGCATACTATCTAATTGCAAAAAAAAATTATGTAGATGCTATTATTCTCGCGTCGTCACAGAAATATTTTTTTATCTGGAAAACGTGAAAAAAAAACTCGCTGCTCTGGAAACGTGTCAAAATTGTGTAACAAAATTTAACACCAAAACTCTAACCAAACCCACAGATATAAATGTATAGTGATTTAATTCTTTGTTTTAATTCGTTTGCGTCATTCAAATAGCAGGATTCAGCTCACAAAACTAAACTACTAATCAAAGATATCTAAATACATACTAAACGATTTATGTATCAATATTACATATCTTTAGCACTGGGTGACTGACACTAAACGACGACATATTACATAAATACAATATTGTTCAAATTGAATACAGAATAAACATTGAAAAATCCTTAATAAATCACAAAATACCAGCATAAAAACAACCAACAACCAACATAAAATGTCACTCAATAAGATTATAAAATAAAAAAAACGCTTGAACAGAATGCAAAAAAGTGATATGTTACAGACATTTAAGAAATCACACAACCAACATATAAATTGATTTTGCTATTTTTGCTAACAAATAGTTAAGTCCTCGGGCGCCGACCTTAGGGGGGGGGGGGGGCGCCAAAATGGGTAGGAAAAACAAATTGAAAGTTTAAAGGGGGGGGGGGGGTGCAAATCAAAAGTTCGAAGAGGGGTTGCGAATCGAAAGTTTGAGGGGGTGGTGCAAATCACAAGTTAGAGAGGGGTGGATATCGAAAGTTTGTCCCCGGGCGCCGGGAAGGGTCGCTACGCTCTGGACATACACACAAATCTTCAATAAAATGGCGTATACAATTATTTTCTGTAACCGCAACTCGCACAAAAAAAAAAAAAAATCTCATAACTCACAGAAATACTTTACATGATTCGCGTCTGTGAACTCACATTTTTTTTAATTAAAAAAAAATTCCGGGCGGCTATGCTGTGCTACTCGTCGCATAAAAAATGGGTAATTCCCAAATTTTTTCCTGTTTTTTTTTTTTTTTTACTTTTTTTCCCTCTATGCAGTTAACAGCTTAAACCCATGCCATTAAAATGAACTTGACATAAACAGGTCGACAAAGAGCGAAAACTGCTCTCTTGCAAGTGGGTACAAAACCCAAACAAACTATCTCATCAGTACATCGAGTTAACAAATGTGGGTTATAGCCCTTGACCCCAGTAGCGCGGCATAGTCCTTGTTTCTTTCTTGCCGAGGAAAAAAAAAAAAAAGCTATAAATGTTTTATCACGTGGTGGCTAAAAATAGATCTCGTTTCTTCCGTTCTATCTATTTTGTAGTAAAGGAAGTAAAAAGGAAGTTAAAAAAAATTAGTTCTCAGCCTTCGACCGAAAAAGTGTAAACTTTCTTCCCAAAGTTAATAGTGGGGTTCTATGTGGAAAATGTAAAAAAAAAAAAAAAAAAAAAAAAACTAAAGTAAAGAATGCTCTACTTGTAAAGTGAAAAAGAGCGCTGTCTTTGTTTGTAAATGTGTGTATGCACGCGAGGGAAGAGAATTGTCCCTGTCAAGACTATCTGGTCTGTCAAGAGTTAGTAATAGCAATGAGTTTAGGCAAATGGATAGACATGAGTTAGGAATAAAACGGTGTGTATGCAAAAAACGGGTATCCCTGCCTTTTTTACTTTCTCGTATATACGAAGTATAAAGTCTTGTAATCGTGCAAAAAAAAATCGAGATTTTTACAAATCTCGACGTTTTACACCTCACTGATACAGAAAAACGTAATTTTGCAATCTTGTCCGTATGTCTGTGTGTCTGTGTGTGTGTGTGTCTGTCTGTCTGTGTGTAAACACGATAACTTGAGTACCTTTACAGCTAGGTTGATGAAATTTCATATATAAGTAATTTATCTAAATCGTAGATCCTGATCAACTTCCCGATAACCGGAAGTGGTACTTTTTCTACTTAGAATTTTTCAAAAGCCTATAACTTGAGTACTATTTCAGATAGACAAATGAAATTTCACATGTAAGTAAAAGATCTAATTCTCTACCTTCTGTCAAATTTTGAGTAATTTCCGTTGACCGGAAGTACTAATTTACGCTATTTCCGATTTCTCACAAAAACGCATGTAAATTTATAAAGTATTAATAATATTTTTTGTATGAGATTCTATTCTATTTTTAAAAGTTTAAGTAATTAAAAATCATGTCTATATTCCAAGTTATATAAGAATATTCGAGAAAGTTTAGGGGAGATCACTCCCGGTTTATTTTGTAACATTTTTGCTTGAGATTCAAGGGAAACCACTCTATTTTACAGATGGCCGCTGTTTATATTGGAAATCTTGCTCGCACATGATGCCTACATTTATATTGATATTATATTTAAATAAAAAGCCAGACTTCCCCCTAAAATGACGTCGCACCTCAGCCCACAACCCCCTCAAAATTGCAATTGAATTTTTCTTAAAAATCAGCCAACATGGAGAATTTGAATCAATTACTATAACAATTTATTAAAAGTTTTCTAAAACGCGAAATAACGGCTAAAATTCGTTTTTTTTTATAATGCCTTTTTTATAATGCAAAAGTGTAACGTCACACGATCGGGATCCTCTCCTCCTTATCACAAACCGACACAATGAGTGTGATGTCATTTATGGACGACCCCTTTGAAATGGCTGATGACGTCATTTTATCTCCACCCCCCCCCCCCCCCAAAAAAAAAAAAACCCAACAATAAACCATGCTGTATGAACGCGTGGGCCTACTTGGGGTCACAGTGAGTTCAAGATAGCCCTATTTACTTTAGTTGTTACAATGTGTATCTCCCTTCCCCGTGAAGTAATTGTAGTTAACCCAGGAACGGAACTACCATGCCGCCAGACCCCGCAATCATAGGCGTAGTGACCCTTCCCGGCGCCCGGGGAAAAAATTTCAATTTGCACCCCCCCCCCCCCTCAAGATTTCGATTTGCACACCCCCCCCCCCCCCCTCATTTTCTTCTTCGTTCTTAACTTTTAGCGTTGGGAGGAACGAGCCTTATCTGCCAGAGGGTTTGAACTCGAGACTTTTTTCGAATTTATCAACCATGAGCTTTGCCGACTCGACCATGCTTCCATCACAATTAAGGATTACGTGTCAACTGGTTTTGCGAAATTGAGGCCATTGACTTCGATTTCAGCCTGCTTTTCTTTTTGGATTTGCTTCCTTAGCCTTTGTCCAACCAACACAAACTACAAGGCAGCAATTGTTTGATTTTGGAGTTGTCTCTCCTAGAAGAGTGGCTGTCCTCAGCTAACGAGCCTCATCTACCCGAGGGTTTGAACTCGAGACTTTTCGGTTTAGCAACCATAAGCTATACCGACTCGACCCAGGAACTGAACTACCATGCCGCCATACCCCGTAATCAGAGGCCTAGCGACCCTTCCCGGCGCCCGGGGAAAAACTTTCGATTAGCACCCACTCAAGATTTCGATTTGCACCCCCCACCCTACACATTGCAATTTGCACCCCCCCCCCCAAACTTTCGATCTGCACCCCCCTCAAGCTTTCAATTTATTTTTCCAACCCATTTTGGCGCCCCCTAAGGAGAATAGACGATCCCCGGTGCTCTTCGTCTAAATTAATGATATACAAATTAATTTCAATTTTCAAACTTATAGTGTTAATTGACTTTTTATTACTTTGTTGTGGTGTTGGGAAAAAAAAATTACATAATTAGCGTGAATGATCAAGTGAAATGTGGTAACTAAAACATATTTAAAATACTGCATGTTATTTATTTTTAAGTGCATTATTATACAAAAAGCTCATTAAAACATCTTAATGAAAAAAAAAATTCTGTTAATACATGTGCATAAGTCATTTGAACATGTGTATGTAGGGTGTGACAATGTGGTGTAAAATGTGCTATTGAATATATTCATATAAGTTTTTTTAAATGGTTTACAGTACCCATGATTAGAAAGACACTGCATATATTTTTGCATTTGAATGACGTTGAATAAGGATAACATTTAACATATTTAAAAAAAAAATTTTTACTAATAAGTAGCAGAAAAATATCTAAACAGTTTGAAAAGTCAAATGTTAACTTTGCATCTCATGCCGAACAAGCCTTTGTTGTCTGACACTGACCTCAACTACCTGGTATGTTAAGGCATTAAATCATCAGAAAAAGCTCAAATAAACCCCAGCATTCAACACACAGAGGTCGTATTGGAATTAATGTAAGAATACAAGTTTTTAGTAAAAAAAAATATAAAAAATTGATACATTTTGTTAGTGATTTTTAATTTAATGTTACAGTCCCACAGCAAATGACTACAGAAATTGTTTCATTAAAGTGTTTTTAAAAAAAAATGAACAAAACAAAGCATAAATTATGCTAAAAATACAATACCAAAATGTCAAAACATAACCGTTGCAGGTTTAGTCTTCTTGCGTTTAAATTTATAACTTGTATGTGGATTTACTATTTCAAGCATTAGAAACTGATAGTTGTGTCAGGGAATGACCCCGCTGAGACCAAAGAAAAAGATCAACTATATGTTTAGCTGCAAGGATGGTCGAAAATGGGTAATTTTACTATTATAATTTATTAAGAACAATCTTCTCTAACTCTAACCTTTTAATTACATTAAAATTTATGCAATGAACCTTTTGCAATATTTGTATATATACATAGATATATATAAGTAACCTAGAAGTAGAACTTAAACATTATCTTTTTATTTATATATACAGAATGTGAATGAGTTAAAAATTAGAATGTTTGTTCCATTGATGCTTCAACAATTTAAATAATACAACATATTAATAACCACTATTCTGGGCAAAGTTGTCATGACAAACAATAGATTTATAAAATTTATTTCCAGTATGAATTTATTTGTGCCTACGTAAACTAAAACTGTCAGAAAACCTTTTATGACAAACATCACATTCATAAGGTATATCTCCTGAATGAACTCTGTGTTTTGTTAAAACAGAATTACTAGAAAACTTTTTATGACGAACATTACATTCATATGGTTTTTCTCCTTAATGAAAACATTTGTGAATTATTAAAGCAGAACTGAAAGAAAACCTTTTATAACAAACATCACATTCAAATGGTTTATCTCCTGAATGAAGTTTTTTGTGTTCCATCAAATTAGAATGGACAGAAAACTTTTTATGACAAACATCACATTCATACGATTTATCTCCTGAATGAACTCGTTTGTGTGTTGTTAAATGAGAACTGCTAGAAAACTTTTTATGACAAACATTACATTCATATGGTTTTTCTCCTGAATGAATACGTTTGTGAATTATTAAAACAGAATTGAAAGAAAACCTTTTATAACAAACATCACATTCAAATGGTTTATCTCCTGAATGAAGTTTTTTGTGTGTTGTTAAATGAGAACTGCTAGAAAAGTTTTTATGACAAACATCACATTCATACGGTTTATCTCCTGAATGAACTCGTTTGTGTGTTGTTAAATAAGAACTGCTAGAAAACTTTTTATGACAAACATCACATTCAAATGGTTTATCTCCTGAATGAACTTGTTTGTGTTTTGTTAAATTAGAATTGATAGAAAACTTTTTATGACAAACATTACATTCATATGGTTTTTCTCCTGAATGAATACGTTTGTGAATTATTAAAGCAGAACTGAAAGAAAACCTTTTATAACAAACATCACATTCAAATGGTTTATCACCTGAATGAAGTTTTTTGTGTTCCATCAAATTAGAATTGCTAGAAAAGTTTTTATGACAAACATCACATTCATACGATTTATCTCCTGAATGAACTCGTTTGTGTGTTGTTAAATGAGAACTGCTAGAAAACTTTTTATGACAAACATCACATTCATACGGTTTATCTCCTGAATGAACTCGTTTGTGTGTTGTTAAATGAGAACTGCTAGAAAACTTTTTATGACAAACATCACATTCAAATGGTTTATCTCCTGAATGAACTCGTTTGTGTGTTGTTAAATGAGAACTGCTAGAAAACTTTTTATGACAAACATCACATTCATACGGTTTATCTCCTGAATGAACTCGTTTGTGTGTTGTTAAATGAGAACTGCTAGAAAACTTTTTATGACAAACATCACATTCAAATGGTTTTTCTCCTGAATGAACTCGTTTGTGTTTTGTTAAAGTAGAATTGATAGAAAACTTTTTATGACAAACATTACATTCATATGGTTTTTCTCCTGAATGAATACGTTTGTGAATTGTTAAAGCAGAACTGAAAGAAAACCTTTTATAACAAACATCACACTCATATGGTATATTTCCTGAATGAACACGTTTGTGAATTATTAAAGCAGGACTGAAAGAAAACCTTTTATAACAAACATCACACTCATATGGTATATCTCCTGAATGAACACGTTTGTGAATTATTAAAGCAGAACTGAAAGAAAACCTTTTATGACAAACATCACACTCATAATGTTTAACTATTAAATGAATTTTTTTGTGGCTGCTTAGAGCAGATCTATTAGAAAACTTTTTATGACAATCATCACATTCATGTAGCTTATCTCCAGAATGAACTTTTTTATGTTTAATTAACCAAGAGCTATCTGAAAACCTTTTATTGCAAGCATCACATTCAAGTGGCCTCTCCCCTGCTTGGGTTTGTTTATTCAAGTTAGATCTTTGAAAAAACTGTTCATGATGAACATGAGGATCAACAGAGAGATATGTTTCATCTTCAGAGAGTTTAAGCTTTTCTTCAAGTCCATTTTGTTGTTTGTCCTCGGAATCTAAAAATTTCGTCCATAAATCTGGTTTCATATCATTGTTGGTTGATAAAGCTTGTAATTCTGGTTTTTTATCTTCACTAGTTGATAAAGTTTGTAATTCTGGTTTTAAATCTTCACTAGTTGATAAAGTTGTTAATTCTGGTTTTACATCTTCAGATCTTGTACACACTGCTGATAAAGCAGGTTTTGTATGTTCATGAATTAAAAATCCTGCTTTTACATCTTGAGAAGTTAGAAATGTCATATTGTGTTTTACAGCATCAAAAGATGAAAATGGTGTACATTCTGACTTTGCGTCTTTAGAAGATGAAAATTCTTGCATAACATTGGTTTTAACATCCTCTGAAGTTAAAAATGTCAAGTTTGGTTTCGTATCACGGAAAGTAAAAAATGATGATACTTCTGTTTTTATGTTAGAAGAAGATGAAAATACTGTAGATAGAAGTGGCTTAACATCTTCAGAATTTAAAAATTCTGGTAATTCACTAGTTTCCTCTCCCATGTTGCACTGCTTCTTATAAATGAACTGAGGATTAAATATTTAAATGTTAAAGTTGTGATTATATAGCCAAAACAAAGTATATAATATATAAACATAAAAAGTTGTGCTGGCTGGTGTACACATGGGTAGTCATGATTCCTTTATTATATTATCTAAACGACACTGGAGGAAATATAACAAAAAGAGGATGACCATACATTTTCTGGCTAAATTAAGGGAAAAATTCAAGTTGCTTTCAATTTTTTAAATATTTGAATAGGTCTTATAATAAGTGAGCTCCTTTCCAATTTTTTTTTACTTCATTTTGTTTTTACAGGTGGTTTAAGATGCTTAACAGTCGTCTTAATAAAGTCTACCATTACTATGTTAGTATTTATCCCTCTGAAATAAAATAAAAATTGACATTTTTATAATTTAAAATATTGCTATAATTATAAATAATTATAGATCAAGTTTATAAGGGACGGAGTGGTCTAGCGGTAGAGAGCTGGACTGCTAACCCGTAAGTCACGAGTTCGAATCTGGGTTCAAGTTAGTAGACCATCCTTGAGTCCACCCAACTCTAATGGGTACTCAGGTTAGGGAAAGTAAAAGCGGCTGGGCATAGTGCTGACCACACTATCTCTTCATATGCTGAGGTCACAGAAACAAGTGAACTCTACTTCACTTGCCCCATAGACCGTCAGGTTTGAAAGGGAAACTTTATAAATCAAGTTTAACGCTTTAATTTAACAGCCCAACAGAGCTACGTTGTTTACTAATTTTTTTATTTATTTTATCTATGTTAGGTCACAGGGAATAAAATTTCAGATGGACAATTTTGGCAGATACGCAATATTCTCAGATCATCTCACATGAGATTATAAATATTCTCTTCCTTTTGAGAGGAAATAAGCTGTTTATTTTCTGATGACTGGGTCCTAATAAGATACACAGCTCTTAGTGCCTTGCTTTACCTATTTTCTTAGACTATCCCTTACCCTTAAGCCTAATCCTAAAGTCTAACCTTAACACCAAATCTTACCCTAAGCTAGTAATGCTATTTGCACTAATAACAACAAAAAACAACGATCAAGACAGGTTTTGAAACTGAAAACAGTAGGCCACAAGGGTCTACTAAATCATTTGTCTAGGTATAAAAAGGGATATCAGGTCTGCTAGATTTTTTTTAATCTGAGCAATTCAATGTTGACATAACAATTAACAGTTTTATTTCAACATGAAAGGCAGGCGCAGGTTAAAAAACAGAATGTTATTGAATCTTGTAAAAAGACAATACAGTGTCAGATGATAGTCCTAGGTCTAGCTGATCTTACTGTTCTTTAGTAAATTGTTTTTAGCACAATCTAGCATTTGTGATAGTAGATTTAAGTTCACAAGTATATGTGAATTACCAAAATAAAAATGGGATGATTTTAGATACAGATGTCCGATAATAGATTCTTCCATAAAATAGTTGTGTTGGTTTGTTAGTAGTATTGTAATCTTGACTAATTTTATGGTTAAAAATTAGGGTTAGGGTTAGGCATATGGTAGGATTAGGGTTGGGGTTAGAGACAGACTTAGCATTGAAATATGCCAGCCATGTGTGTATTTAGTTAACTACAAGTAATCTAACACCCCCCTTTTTTAAAGAAGATTCAATTTTTAGACACTTGTATAAAAATTCCTGGTAATCTAGAGTTTTGGGTACGAAAAATCGGCCGAGGCTAGCAATGTGCGACAAAGTTGTCTCATAGTTAAGGCTTTAATAGAAGTAAATTGTGATATATTTGTGTCAAATATTATAGATAATGGAATAATAAACCAAAACAAAGGCTAAATATATCAATATAGGCCAGAAAGTTACTTCAAAAATTAAACAGCAGTGTTAGCTAGCAATATTTGCTATATAAACAGCAGCCATTTGTAAAATAGAGTGTCTTCCCCTAAATCTCCCGCTATAAGTTTACCAAAAAAACTTCAACAAGACGGCTGCTGAAGTAAACGAGCTTTGTTGCATCTGATGAAAACATTGCTAAACTTTATTTAATACTGAAATTTTTAATATAATTGTTTAAAAACAGCTACATGAATGAAAGTTTGAAACATTTTTTGTAACTTTTAAAACATATATCTTCCTTAAAATGTGAAATAATTACTAACATTTAGGCCTAATGCACGTTCTTTTCACATTACTAGTCTCGAATTCCCAATCATAGTTAATAGTAGTAGTAGGCCTAAGTACTAAGTAGATATCTAGATCCAATATCTAGATCTATTACTGGGCCTTAATTTCAAATTTGTATGTATGTAGGCCAATGTGTCAATGTAGGCCTAGAATCTATAAAATATTATTAGGCCTAATATTATTATTATTTAGGCATTAGGGCCTAGATTAGATCTAGAATAGAGTTTATTAATAATTTATTATACTTAGGCCTTAGGCCTATAGTAATAATAAATATAGATATTAGGCCCCTAGTTAAATTTAATATAATGATGGAAGGATTCTCGTCAACTCGTTCGCCCCCATTAATGAAAACGAAACCGTGCCGATCTAGATTTTAGATCAAAATAAAAGATTCAAAACTAGATATCTAGATCTAAATCGCTTCGAGAGCTTGGGCCGTGATATAAAATTATAAAACAAACCCGCAAGCTGTGAACCGAACGGCCTTGGCATAGGCCAGTGCGGGGTGGTTTTTTTCTCGGATGATAATAATTAAGGATTTTTAAAAAATATTCTAGATTACTCAATAATATTCAACTTACTCTTATAATAATAATATATCAGCTAGATCTAGATCTAGATCTATATCTGTCTTGTTTGTTGCTAGACTAAAGATGAGAAAGAAAGTTTAGTTTTTAAATACACTTCAGTACTCTTCAGCCAATTAAGAATAAAAATATGTATTCCATTAGAGTCCTTTCATATTTAGAGACAGCAAATTAACTTAGGATTAATTAAATGTAATGTAATGCGTGTAAGCTGTATACGCATAGGAATTTTTATAATTCATCTAAAAATATTTATTATGAAGTATGTAGATTGTAATTATTTTAAACTTAAGATTAGTAGCATTTAATAATATGCTCCAAAGTCCACGTTTTTCATCGTTTTTTTTTTTAAATACCAATATTAAATTACCGTGAAATGGAAAGTTCATCTGACTTGCTGCCAGAGGCGTAGCGACCCTTCCCGGCGCCCGGGGCGAACTTTCCATTTGGCGCCCCCCCTTATATATATATATATATATATATATATATATATATATATATATATATATATATATATATATATATATATATATACATGTGTGTGTATAATTATGTGTGTGTGATAGTGTGTTTATATATAAGCTTGTGTGTGGGTAAGAGTGTATTTGTGTGTGTAAGCGTGTGTGTAAGCGTGTGTGCTACAGTCCGGACAAGGTTTAATAATTACATTGTATGATTTTCATTCCTTAAAACTTTACGACAATTTAATTCCCATTAAGATGCGTTTATCTTTTTTTGCGAAAGATTAGTAATGTCAGTAAAAAAAAATAAGCCTGATCTGTGTTAGAGGGTAGTTTGTAGCTAACGCTAATATGTTTAGACCAGCCTTTTATGTTCTAGTTTTGGAACGATCTCTGTTGTGATATGGTACATAGTTGGATTCGAAGTTTATTAGAGTAAGGACACACAAGTGACATACAAGAAGAAGTTATCAGAAATATTTATTGTTCACATTGGAATACGACATGGGTATTTCGTTGATTGGTTGATGGTATGACAAAACAAGCTAGAGAAAACAAACTGGAATCCAACGGATGTTAACAGCTCGTAGTCTTGGATTTCGCAGATTTGCCCTGTCTTCTCGCACACAGAGTTTCTTCCAGGCATCTCTTCGGGGGGGGGGGGGGGGGGCGAAGCCCCCCGAAAAATTGTTACCGCCCCCGAACGAAATGAAATTTATATGATTTATATATAGAAAATATATAGTTTTAACAGTGTCCGCCCCCCCCCCCCAAAGAAAGTCTACCGCCCCCCCCCCCCCGAAAATTTCAAGTGCCCCCCCCCCCCCGGAGAAAAAAGTCTGGAAGAAACACTGCTCACACAACGTCAACAACAAATGCAGAACTAATTGTATTGATTGAAGAAGCAGTAACAATCAATTTAATGATAGCCCATGACGTTCTGATTATAATCAGCAGCAATAAAACGCGTTTTAATACTCTAAGAAAATGTAGAATTCAAATGCATTGTCAAAAAAATTCAATCAGGATCTATAACTAAATGTGGTCTCTTTAACTGTATGGCTTGGAGCTAGATTACAAACAGTGGAATGAAATAAGAGCATGGAAAAAAGTGGTGGTTAGTGGCTTAGGGATTCAAGAATCCGTGATATTTAGTTCTCATATAGTTCAGTGTTCCACGTAAGATGTAATGCAATCAGTCAAAAGTATCTGATCTCTCACGTTGAAGTTGAGAGAATCGTAAGAATCTTACAAAGAACTAGTCGCGTCTTTTTTTTTAACAAAACTGGCTAGTGAAATTGTACATTACGCGTTAATACACTTGGTTTCTTTACTAAGTGTTAAGAGAGTTATCTACCCACCAATCCAGTACAAATACTTGCGATTTTTGTTAGCGAAAAAAGCGCCCCCCACCCCCACACACACTCATCACAACCATCTTGGACAAAGTTTGTAGAGCGGTTTTTAACGTAACTAACTTTTTTAAAAAAATGTTACACAATTATACAATGCACAGTACAATTCGTTTCTTTCTGAGGGCTAAATGTTGTTTACTCAGAATCCAGTGTAATTTTGCTATTTTATTTAGCCTAAAAGCGCCCCCCTGCACCATCTTGATAAAAGTCTCTAACGTATTTTACAGTTCAACAATCGTACAATACGTTTTAATACAATTGGTTTCTTTTAATAGTGGTAACGTTTATCGACTCAACAATCTAGTGTAAATTCTTCCGTTTTAAGTCTCGAAAAAGCGCC